GTATTGATGGAGGAATATGCATGTCGAGCATGGGAAGAGCAGTAACGTACGAAAAGGCTGTTGCATGGAAAGTGTTAAACGACGACGAAGATCCTCACTGTATCTGCTTCATGTTTCTGAACTGGTCTTTTATTTGAATTTCTTGTTAAGTTTTTTTTTGTTAATTATCAAACACACAGAGACAACTTTTTTCAGAGATATATTTATATATGTTCTTATCTATTAGTTAATTTGTATCTAGTTATATATTCCGGAAAATGATTATCATCTCTAAATTTTAAAATTCAAATCCCATTCCCTTGGACGTTCGTGAACAAAATTAGGACCATCGTTCTCTATAGAAACCAAAAGAAACTTTATTTGTCAACGTAACAATTTTATTCTACAATTACTAGGTAGGACCGAGTCTGCGTGGTTGATGGCTATTTTATTTACGAAAGTGTCAACGAGTGCTGAGAGCATATGGCCAAAGTCCAAATAAGCTCATGGACTAATTAAAAACCCAGCAATTAAGTACACTGACGTATACCGATTCCCACCACGTAACCGGACTCCAAGACAGGCTCATAAATTCTTAAAGGCTAAAAAAGCTACTAGTAGTATTGATTCTTTTTGAAAACGAGTGTATTTAATGCCGTTGTTTCCAATAAAATTCTTGAGGGATACTAGTACCAATACTTTGTCATTTGTGTGGTTAATACTCAATATTCTCTCTCTTCTAAATTAATACTGGTAGATTTTAAAAAATCCACATATATTAAATTGTTTTTGTTTAATTATAAATACAAAAGTTCACCAGAAGAAAACTAGAAATACATCATTTTATGGTAAACAATCCCTTAATTTTAAACCACTAATTTCATTTTATCAATTAACATTTAAAAGATTTACAACTCTTTATTGCTAATTAATGAAAAATCCATAAAATCTATTTTTAAGGAAGAACCAATGAAAAAGATGTAAATTATTTCTTTATAAAAAGAAAGATATATATATATATATATACTTATAGAACACTTTTGCATGGTTATTATTCTTTTGGAATATATTTCGTAAATTCTCCATCTTTTATTGTTTAAAAACTAGCTGTTATATTATGAACGTAAAAATCAAGCTAAATGTAATGGAACAGGTTGTCAAGTGTTAATAGAAAAACGCAACGAATAAATTACTTGTTAGATTACTCCTAATGAAGTTCCATAGAACCATAGAACACAAGAAGCCATGTATCTTTATATCACCATATACTTAACACGAAATCCACAAGCTAAAGTCACAATCACACGGTAGAAAACAAAGAGATTTCACATATTTTTATCATGACAAAAACATACACAAGATTTTACAGATTCATTTCCATTTTATTAGCCATATGTTTAAGACAAAACCCTACGTAGGCTTCAAGGTCTTCCTTCTTCCAACCATCAACAGGATCAGACACAAACGACCACTCGATTCGACAGACCTTTCCACCGTCCGATTCATCTCCAACGTCCACTTTCATTACTTTGACCGTCGCCACGTAAGATCTGAACCCCACGTTATTCTCTAGGACCTCATAGCTCAAACACCGTCCGATTGGATCGATCTCGACCAAACGCTCCTTAGCCCATTTGGTTTCCTCTTCTTCCTTTGTTGTGGTGGAAGCGCAGTATCTGACTAGACCAGTCTGACCATCGGTTCCTTCGACTTTGCGACACGTGTCAACAGTTGGGAACCACTTATGCAGGTTGCAGAAATCTGAAACGACCAACCAGGCTTGCTCCGCCGTGACACCGTTGACTTGGGTTGCTTGTTTACCCTCCCACTTAAACCCTGCCGTTTCTGGTTCCATTTGACCTGACGACTTTGATGATTGGTATTTTATAGTTAGTGCTTCGTTACAATGTTGTTTCTCGAGGAGTTTGGTAGCACGAAGCTATTTATGCTCAAAGTCAAGCGTGTAATGGATTATATGACTTATTCTTGGGTTCACCCCCTAGGGTGAACCTCTAGGTTCACCAACCAATATAATGGTGTTATTTAATATTTGATATCTTTTAAAAAAGTAAACAAAATTTTGTCAATTTATATTATGTATTTAAAATAAAAATAAAAAAATGAAATAAAATATTAATATATACAAAAACGAAAAAAAATCTTTAAAAAATATTTAAACATTATATTATGTTTTAAAATAAAAGATAAAAATAAAATAAAAACAGTAATAATTACAAAAAACAATTTAAAACAAAAAAATATTTTAATATATCTTCAAAATAAAAATATTTGTTTAAAAAAAAAGAAAAAAAGAAAAAAAAATAAAAATAGTATAATTGGTTAGTATTAATTTTAAGATTTTCCCAAAGGGTTTATGATTTACCCAAGGGTTTAGGGTTTAGGATTAGGGTTTAGTATTAGGGTTTAGGGTTTAGGATTAGAGTTTAGGGTTTAGTGTTTTAGTGTTAAATATTTTTTTAAAAAGTTTTTTTTCGTTTTTTTAATATTATTATTTTTTATTTATTTTTTGTATTTTTATTTTAAAAACATAATATAATTTGACAAGATTTTGTTTCCGTTTTTAAAAGATATCAAATATTAAATAACATCACCCTATTGGTTGGTGAGCCTAGAGGTTCACCCTAGGGGGTGAACCTAAGAATAACTCGGATTATATATAATCATGATGTTAACCTAATTATAATTATTAACCAAGTACAGCCCAATAAACCTACAAAGCCCAAAACTAAGCCCAATCACAACGCCTGCATGGTCCAAATCTACACAAATACAAGTTACGCCACCCAAAATCTCCAATTATTTTCTTAGATTTTCTAACACTTTGGTCGATGATAGTGGGAGGTTTATAATAAAAAGATTCAAAGTAACTGTTTATATTATATTGTGATTTCTGTTTCTTTCCAAACTAAAACTTTTCAGACCCACTATCCGACACAGTAAAGATACTCCACTAATATAGAAATTACGAGACATTACAATTAGATAGTAGCAAAAGTAGGGACCTATATTGTTTTAGCCATCATTAGCTAACCGAAAGTGTACAGAAACCTTACAAATATGTGTACTCAAAGTGTGATTATAACCAAGCTTTTGTTAACTAAAATATAGAAGGATAATGTTGGCCACCGGAAGTGCTGAATAAACTTGCGTATTATCCGGTGTGCATACGAACTCACCAACCGCTGAAAAAATTAGACCTACCAAACTCTTGAATCTTGATTGATTATCTTTTGAGCTTAGTTCCCAAAAAAGTTCGACGCTTAATGGCTTACGGACTATCTGCTGATGATATTGACTCAGTGCAAAACCAAATCTGATACATGATTCAAGGAAAACTAATGGATTACTAATACAATTATGAAGCAACACAAACGTACTATAGTTGGAACTACAAGGGGAAGCAAGAACATAAACACATGAGAAAGGTTTAAATATGAAAATAACATTCTAAGTTTCAAGGAAAAGAAAGTGACGGTTATCTATCGTTATACATAACACGATCAGATCGGTTAGATAATTGTCCATGTAGCACACATGTTTTGATGGTCTAATAAAGAACTTTGAAATCAATGAAATATACATAACTTTAATCGAATCCTCTTCCAATAAGCATATGATGTAAATAAATACTTATTCAGGTAAACATCATTTATCTAAAGATATACCGGAAAATGTAAAAGGGTTCTGTTACTTTGTTTTTTTCTTCTAACAATAGGACCCTTATTCATTTGAACATAGCCATCAGAGCCCGCAACGCCATCGATTGCCTTTATTTTTTTGGAACACGACGCCATCGATTGCCTAAACCTTAAAATAGACTAGTTTATTCAGGAAACAAAAAAAGGACAATTTTCAATGACTAATGATGACAATTTTATGTGCAAATTATTAAGTACTCATTGCTCAACAAAATGCCCGACTATTTACAATATCTAGACCTAATTCTTGGTCGGATAATGTGGTTTTTTATATATTTCCAGCTCATTGACACTTCTTCTAGGCCTAATAATTATCTCGTTAATAAATCAACAAAATACAGCTAGTAAAAAGCCACCAAAAAGTTTTAGTTACATTCAACTTTACGTGAGGTTCACTCATAAGAGTCAACAGAGTCATACTATTCACTTATTTAACACATCCATTCAGGTAAAAGTGTCATCGCTATTCATCTGCTTAAAGATTATACTTGATTCTTGTAAGACTTCGTTATCCAAAACATCGTGGAAATTCACTTTCTTCATTTTTTTCACGAAGTTTGGTTTTGTAGTAATGAATAGATATTTGGATCTGTTGTCAAAAAAAAAAATTGGATATGTTTATTATTAATGTAATATGGTTATATCAAACTTTTGTATTTGATTTGAATCAATGAATGAATCAGTTGAAAGAAAAGAAAATTAAATCAAATAACTAAGCTAACAAAATAATTATAAATTTTAATACATTTCCACTCGGTCTGATAAAATTAGTGCAAGTTTTCAAAATTGAATTTAATAACAAATTTTTCAGTAGATAAAATAGTCAATTGACTTAATTTGTTCTATAATATCTCAAAACAAAGATAAGTTTAACCTACCAAAATTAATTTAAAAATACTACACTTAGCACAACAAAAATTTGACACAAATTTAAGAAAATAAATTCTACTAAGAAATTAAATATGATACAGAAGATATAAACAGGACATTTTAAAATGTGTTCAAGGGAGTTATATCACGCTTCCTCTTGGATCTCCTCGTGAAGCAGTACTGTGAGAGCAACCCGGTGAGCGCTAGAAGACTGTTGGTTCATGAACAAGACTGAGGCCGGGGTGGAAAGCTCGGTTCAACAACTACGCTGGGAGCACCATGGTTACCAGAGAGGAGTTTCTTTCCCATGACAAAGCCAAGATGACTAAAGCTTGTGAAATCTTCACTGAGACCTACACAGGAACAATGCTTGGTATTGTTATAAGGCAGGGATGGCTTGGTATTAACCAGTCCCATCCATATGTATGATAACAAGGAGTCTGAGAAGAATTTGCATAATATAAATTCCAAAATACTGTATTTACTAGATGATAACCCGTGCGTATGCGCGGGATGCAATTTTTATACTAATATTTATTCATTAAATGGTTTTTAACATTTTGCAATACTACAATATTTATCGATTATAAAATGATGAATACAAATGTTGGTATCTTAAATCATCATAGGTCTGAACGTTTGAGATTTCGTCGGTTTTAGTTTGATTGACACGTATTTTCAGATTTTGGTATTATTCTCATAAATCCTATTTGAATTTTACTAATTATCGGATTGTATTCGATTTGATCTTCTCAATTCAGTTTGAATTGGATTGTAACCAATATCTGAAATCATCCCAAAAAATATTTGTTAAACATTAAAAGTTGACAAAAAATCAAAATATTTAAACTATTAATATATCTAATTTAAAATTAGTTAAATTATCTAAACAAACTAAAAGATATTAAAAAAAAGAAGCAAATAAAACAAACTACAAAAATCTTTCGAATACTATAATTTGTATCTACTAACCTCAAACCTTTTCACTGAAATTTTTAAATTAACATATTTATAGTATGAATATCTACTAATGATAGTTCATATTCGTACGATTTATGATAATTTGTATCTTCTTTGAACAAAAAAAAAGTTAAACCATTGATCATAAAATTTTCAATGTGGGATTTTACTATTTTTAGTTATTTATGGTCGTTTAATTAACTAAAAATAGTAAAATCCCACATTGATCATATAGGTCATTAAAAAATTAAAGCTGAGAAACTCTGTGAGCTTGACACGTTAGCATGCTCTCTAAGGTTGTGCATTTATGAATGTTTTAGGATTAATATATAAGAGATTCTTAATCAATCAAATATCGCTTGGTCTATTTTTGTAAAAGCATACTTTTTAATTCAGATCTAGTTTTGCCATGGTTATAAAAATTTCAGGACACGAACAAAATGCCAGGTTTTGTAGTAATATAAAATAGTGTCGACCGTCGAAGTATATATACGAAACTTGGGAGCCCGAGATATCCAAGTTGGAAGAAAACAGTTCATTGTTTTCTTTTTTTTTTCACAAATAAGATTAATTATTTAATTTTCTCGATAAGATTTTAACTCTTTCGACAAAGCAATCAAAATCAACTTTTCTAGTTAAAAAAAGATCAAAATATGACCAATGGAACCCTACCCGTATTACACTTTTTGCATATGCGAACAACTTAGAGAGAGTAATACAATTACTTAACAAAAAGAAAGAAAGTTAGTTTAATCTATTTATCCCTTCTTTATTTTTCTACCTGACAAAACAAATTAATTAAAGTAAAGACAGAAAAAGAAAAGGAAACCAACTATTAAAATCCAAAAAGGCGGACACGGTTCAAATAAAATTGGTATAATGCAGCTGTTATCATTACACTATTTAAATATTGTTTTGCTTTAAATGTGAATTTGTATACTATGTAATCGATTCGCTTTATTGATGGTAAGATCAGTCTTCAATATCTGTATTTACCAGATATTTTCTCCAATGGCCAAACATGTTGGATGTCTAGGCATTACATAAACTATACAGAAATGAATGCCTGTTTACGATCTTAGTTATTTCTATTTCTTAAAAACAATTTACAATCATTTTCATATGTTTCTACTTTTGAAATTTGAAGTTTCTGTTGATCTCATTCGTAACAATTCATATGTGGATTCAAAATTTTCGGGCTGTAGTTTTTATATCATAACTTTATGTATTCTACACATGGGAAATCCATTCACCTTATTTATAGATCTTTTCATATAAGAAATTCTTGCTATATATTTTACTTTGGAGAACGCAATATTCTGATGAAATATAATTATATAAGAAATAATCTATTCATAGTGGTGAGGATTCGCTCCATTAGTTAGAGACTAGCTAGAGATTGATTTATTCCATTCTAATTTGATTTTGGTTGGTCATATGTAGAGGATGTGGTAAGAAAACATAGAATGGAATTAGTTTGGGTTTCCACATGAAATTTTCCGGGTTACAAAAGCAAATTGTGAAATATTTGATATTTTTAGTGAATATACTAGTTGTTTAAATCTCCTAAGCATAATTTTAAATTCTCAAATCTAATTAGTAACACAACATTTATAATTTAAATTGCGTATTGAATAACTATGGTGTACGTATTCATATGCTCATAAATGATCTAAAGTTCAACACTAAATAACAGTTACAAGAAGTTTAATTTACTATTTAAAAAAAAACGAAATAGTTTTGTTTTATTTATAAAATTATAAAATTAAAGCTATCAAATTGTCATTTTTTCTAACCACGAGTTACAAAGAATATACATGGAATTATATTCTTGGATAGTTTGAACTTACAAACATAATATGATCTTATATTACATGGAGTTTTTCTCTGTTTATCACAAATCATGGTGGGAGACTCAAACAAGATGAGTCTCTTAAAATAAAATCAAGAATGTTTTTAACGGTTAAGATAATAACTATTGGACCCATCACTTCTTTGTTGTAAAACTCCTATAGAGGAATAAATATTAATGTGTTTCCGTTATATAAAGACCATCATAAGTTTCATCATTAATCCCACTTTAGTTTCTTTAAATCACATCCCTTCAACCTTACGCCAAAGCTCCTCTTCTTTCTCTCTTTTGTCTCTTTCTATCTTTCTCTTACACATATGCAAACACACGAGATGGACGATGTTTGTTCAACAGTCACTACCAAGAAGCTCTCAAGACTCGCGAAGCTAATCCTCTTCACCATCCAGAAGGTCTCAGACGCCTCACGTCACAAACTCCAAACAACCCTCGACCCACAACTACTCGCTAAACGTGGCAAGACCCTACGCAAATCCTTAAACGAGGCCGTTTCAACTTCCCACTCCCACATCACGTGCCGCCCTTCCGACCACGACGATGTCCGAGCCTCCTTCATCTCACCTGTTCCCATCCAGCTCGACTACGAGTTTAGCTGCAGCAGCACCCCACCGAGACGTTCCTACGCCTCGTCTCGCAAACCACTTGTCAACAAACGCCAACGTCACGCGTATATGCGCTACAACACGTTCCCTAAGGTTCGAGATGTCGTCAGGGAACGACGCGCGGCTGCGGCCGTGTTTCCCGACGTAGCTAGCAGCGTCGGAACCATGGATAGCTGCCACGTGGACAGAGCGGCTGAGGAGTTTATACAGAGGTTCCATAGAGAGCTGAGGCTGCAGAGGTGGATGATGGCTCAGGAGGTTTAAAACATTTGATTCAGCGTTACTTTCGTTACACCAAAATATAAATCATATGAGAAAAAAATACTGTAATATGTAACTTTTTTAATTTCTCTCTGTAGTAGTATATATTTCCTTAGTTTTCAGTTATCATTTGCTTTGTGTAATCAATGAATCCATGATCGTGTTTAATTTAGATCTGCTTGGAACAAAATTATAGGAAAATCAATCTTCGAATAGCTCTTTTTGTGTATATTGGCACACATAATATGACTATATTTACATATGTTCATGACAAATTTAAAGTACGATAGATACCACTGTATTTTTTATTGGTCACTTAAGAATGTCTTAGTACCGACGCTTCGGGGGGGAAATATCCATGCATGCATTGAGTTTGTTGTATGTTATGATAATAATTTAATTTGTCGTTTACTATGATTTGGCTATACATATAAGCGACAAAATTTACTTATCAGCCAAATGATGTTGAAATGATCCATCGTTGTAAATCTACGTAATCCCTATAATAGACTAATTAATAGTATATATTCTTCGGCTGCACTGAAAATACAGCAAAAAAAAAAACATCCCAACTGTAATATGATATATCTGAAGCCATATTGTAATAAACCTAACAAGTCAAAAATTACTGTAAAAGCGTCCTCAAAGTATAGCATCCTTCCACCGAATCCCACTAAAGATCTAGAAGGCTGGATCGTAGAACTCGACCTATTTTTTGGTCTGTCATTAATTGTAAAATCTTCACTAACGTTTTTAAACATTAACTTTGTGTGGGAAGAATACACACAGTAATCTATGTTTGGAATATCCAATGAAATAATATTTTCATTTAGGTGAGGAATAGTTCTCTTCTATATTATGCATATCCAATCATGTTGTTTAGCACATGATGCCGACTCGATATATAACGTCCGTATATATATTATTTTCCCAAATGTGTAAGAACACTTTGGAATAATATCTTGGTTATATAATACTCTTATCGGGACACTTTGTCATGTAATGGATGTTGATATGATTAAAAAGCTATCCATCACTAAATGAAACGAAGAAGTAGCTATCCATTTGAAAGGTGTTCACTATCCGTGATTAAGTAGGTCGTTTTCTTCTTTGGCATGCTGTATAGCTTTTAGACAAGTCCACAAAACATGTTTATGGTACATGTCCACAATAAATGCTGCAGGCTTCGGAGAAATTATGAACGTACATGTGTTTCTTACTTCTTGTATATGTGGAGTTAGCATTATCTGAAAACATTAAATTTGATAAAATTTCATTGTTCATCCCCCAACTCTACTCCAAGCAGTCGATCAATTTTCAATCATTTCCATCAAAAATGAAGAGTAAACGAGTCTTCAAAGTAAAGATTACACGCTAATCATTTGAGATATCAAATCACAAACCTCTTTTTCCAGATTTTTTTTAAAGCCTTGCATTGTACTACTCATATAATCATGGGGAAACACATTCTTATATACATAAAACAGGAAATAGAAAACACAACGATTCAAGTCAAACCTCAAAGAGGGCCAGCCATCTTAAGTACCAAAACAGGTGTCTGAAACAGCCGAACGAAAAAAAAAACAAAGCATTCAACATTATAAATCAACCCCTCTCTCCAGAAGTATTAATATGAGTGATGATCATTGCCCCACCACCTCATGACGCATAGTGAGTTATGATCTTCCACTCAACAAAACAAATCCATCCAACGTTCCTTGCTTATATCTAATTTTGTTTCTTTTTCTCTTTTTTTTTTGGATTTTTCAAATGTCTTTTTTTACTTTTTTTTTTTCATATAAAAATTTAACTTACCAAAGGTTTTGTACTCTGTCGTCAATCGTCCGCAACATTTTGAATTGATCTTTCAGTCTTGGTTATCACGTCAATAGCCTAAAGGACGTTCACACAGTGGACTTTAAGCTCAACCTGCTGCTGCTATAAAAGCACCACGAAACAAAAATAAACAATAACATAAAGACATCATGATTTTGCCTTATCTGTGACTTCTGCAAAGAGTCTGACCTAGCTCCGTCTTCTGCCTTCTCCATCCCGCTGACCAAAGAGTTTGCCTAAGACAAACAAGATTATCAGCAAGAACATACGGAAGTTAGGTGTATTCCTCACACAGCTTAAAGAAAGAGAGAGAAAATATCTATCCTCAAGCGGAGTTGCTTGACACACACAACAAACGCATTGCAGGGTAGGACCTGCTAACTAATATATGCACTAAGTTAAGCGGTACGCAGAAACAACACAAGGCAAGTGAAAACACAGCAAAAATATTGACCTCTTATGTAGCAAAAAGAGGTAATACTATTCTGGATAAGGACTACCATGAAAATTCAAACTTAGCTCTACCCTATCTATGTCTCTTGACTATGAAACCAAATATGGGATCGCGCTTAAAATCCAATGTAGTGTGGAGCTTTGATGCTCACATATTAATGCAAGTTGATATTAAACAAGCCAGAAAATGTTAATAATTTAAAAGCAACTATTCTAAGGAAGCTTACGAACCTGAAGGTCTTCAGGTATGCCCTTCAGGTTTCCCTTTCCCGCGAAAGAATCTGACTTTGTAGCAGGAAACTCAAATTCCTGTAAGAAAACCATCATCACTATTCCCCCTCCGTTCAAGCAAAATATTGTTAATTTCCTGGTAACACTTTTGAACCCCTAAACATACAAAAAAAAACTCACCTCGTAATCACGGTTCTGCCCGCAAGATCTACTCAGCTGAACACTATTCGCAGTTTCCCTCTCAACTTCATCGACAACACTGATCGATACGCACCTCAAATCACGATCTAGGTTTTCTTCCTGACCACTTTCAGTTGCTACCACGTCACTAGAATCAGGTGTCACACACTTTCCAAAACCCTCAGCCGGATCAGAGTATTCCTGAACAAGAGCCATACTATCTACTTCCAGAGCTTGCTCGCTGCCAGAGTTACACTCATCTCGGGTGAAGTTTGTGAGTTCAGCACTATCAGTGTTCAAATTTGCAGCCTCAATTCCTTCACTAGGAGATCTTCTAAGGTTACATAGAGGAGGGGTACAGCCAGTAGTGATAGCACTATTGTCAGGAGAAACAATGTCTAAACTGTGTGGGCTAAGAGATGCGCGCTTCTCAGGTTTTTCTGGCCGAGCATCCATCATTCCATTATCGTTCTTTCTCTTCACATGCCTCTCCACCACAGAATTGGAAACTGTACCATCTTCACCAGATTTTCCACCCGGTTGGTTTTGATGCCTAGAAGGCCGTGACCTTCTGTATCCAATTGGGAAAACAAAAGATGGAAGCTGTCGTCTACGAACATGAGAAACATACACATCCATCCCAGGCTTCCAGAACATATACATGTTTACTTCTTGTCTGAACTCCTCGACGGTACCACGGATATCAAACTGTTGACATTCTTGACCACCAACTCCCTCTGCCCTCTGCAAGCCCATGAAAAAGGCACAATGCAGAACCTCCCTAGACGTGTCGACATACTCATTTGGTTGGGGATGACACATTAGCATTCCATTTGTGTCTCTTTCTATCTGCATAGTTAGATTAGACAAGAGCGGAAACCATTCAATCTTTTTTCCTACCAAAAAAATATAAATGAACACAGAAGATTAATCAGGTTTACTGCTGTAATGAATAAGAGGACAATATCCACCTTCAATGTCAGCTGTCTAAACCGTGACTCCACCCAACCCTTCCAAGCCAATAAATCCTCTGCATCTGCTGCTACTATATCAACCTGCAGGTAGTTTTTATATGCCTCGAAGAACATATATTGTTCAAACAAAGAGCTCCAATGTTGTTTATTTAGTTCAATCTCCTGCATTAAAAAATATGCTCAAAGATAGGATCCTGAATGCTTGAGGAAACGAGAGAAAAGGTTTACTGCCTTACTTGCAAGATACTGTTACCAAACTGGAACTGCTCTGTCATAACGCGAAGAGTGCTTTGAGAGACATTGTAACTAGAATTCATGCATGGGTAAGCTGGAGTGATTATTGGCATAAGGTGATAGCGATCGCGATGGTTCTTACGAGGGTCCCAAACAGGAAATCCAAGCTCATCCTCTTCAATAGCACAAAGCATAACCGGGTTTGGCCACCGCCACTGAGTATATACTCTGAAAAAACGAGAAACAAGCATACTAGGAATTGCATTTGGATAGAGCTGGCACACACGAGCTACCAAAAGTGCCCAGTTTACACCGCCTAGAAATCCAGTCACCTGCATAAAATGATAAAGATGACGAGAATTTAAATATGAAAATTTTCAATAAATATGGATTTCAGGAAGGTATGATCTTACATTTGAATAGACTCCACGCCTCTTAGCCCAGTACTTCAGACATCTTAATGTTGTTCGAAAGTGCTACAATTGCACAACAGATCAGCGAAGGCAACAATCGTTCTTTAATATGTTAACACATAGAATAGCATTCTGCAGGTATACCTCAAAATTTGGAACAAGTTTAAGAATCTGATCAGCAACTCTACAACCATTAAGACTCCTAACGGTTGGCTCATCAACATCACACAGAACAGAAGAGTTGGATATATCGAGATCCTGTTGATAAATCATACCATGAAGAGATTCGATTCAGCAAGCAAACCAACAATTGTGAAAAAGCAAAGTTCCCATCTATAAATCAATGTTCTATGCTAAAAACAACCAGCAAACTTCAGAGTTCTCTTTATTTAAATTTCTCTAATATATCAATCAATCTTTGGATGAAGAGAGTACATTATCAGACCCCATCAACATGCAAGCACTAACAAATATAAGATATTATCTACAAGACTAACATAAGGTGATCACATATCAACGGAAAACGATACCTTGGATTCACAGAAAAGCTTACCTGGGGCACAACTAAACGAGATATGCTAGCATAGAGCAGATCAATCGATATTCCTTGAAACTTAAATTTCATGACCGGAACATGAGCGTCCGGAACAGGTTGAAGTTCAGTCACTTCTTCCATTTCAGCGAGCATATCATGCAAGATCATAAAGAAATCCTCCTGTACAAGTAAGTGTTAAGAACTCGAGAAAATTAAACTTTTGGATCAAAAAAGAAGTAAATAGCAAGAGTCACCTCCCGGTTAACATAAGATGGACCAACACACAAAGTGTCAATGTCAGCCCCAGGACCATGTACCTGCAAGTCAACAAGTTGTATTTTTTTCAGCCTCAAGACTCAAGAGAGTAGAATAGAGATGATAAAAAGAGTAGGATTGCATTGCAAAGAAAGAAACAGAGCTAACTCTAAAGGGTATATATATTGGATGTTCAAAATACTCAATACAACAGAATGATCCAGGTAATCCATAATAATACGTCTATGTGAGCACTAAGATAAAAGGCAAGGCAAAGGTAAACATGAATCAATCACTTACTCCAAGTCGGTAAGAACCAAATGTGAAAATGACAGCATTTGCATCCTCCACCATTTGGTCCGTATATCCCCGTTGCTGGGTTAACTGCTTCACCCAGTGCTTCACAATCTAAAAGAGCCAAAGTATTAAGAAAAAAAATTAGATAAAAGAGTTACCACAACAAACAAACCTAGTTAAGAAAGATCAACAACCATAAAAGACATAGTTTTTAAAGCACAATTGTGAAAACCTAATTAACATAACAATCAAATAAGAAGACGCTCCTCCTACGTAAACAGCGAACAACAATGAACCAAGACAAGGTGAATCACCTGATCAATTCGCCCGAGAACTTCCTCTCTCCGCATAGTATCCTCCTCGCTCTCATAGAGTCCCTCGTCAACCAAGAACTTTAAACAAGCAGCAACTCAGAAAAACCGTAAGCAATTGATGGAAACACAAACTAAACTAAGCTAAGCTTCACATACCTTCTCAAGCTCCAGGTTACGTTTGAAATCAGCAGAGGAAGGACCAGCAAGCGAGAGAGGCTTCGTAATTCCATAGCTTTTGGGAGAATTCACCACCGAGCCATCTACACGTTGAGTCCCCACCATCATACCACAATCCAATCCTAACCGATCAGCAGAAACACATATTGTAAAACCGGTTCGATTTCAAGCTGAGCTCAAGGGGAGAGATCGGATCAGACGCAGGATAAAATTCGAAAAAAGGGAATCAATAACCGAAAGCTTTATAAGAGGAAACCCTAAATCGAAGGAAAAGGGGGGAAAGCGACTACGGGTGTCAAGGAAAAGTCAAAGAGGGAGGATCTGAGAGAGGTTAAAATCGATGCTAGGGAGAAGAGAGAGGGATCGAGATGAATGGGGTGGGTTTGTATTGTATGATGAGGGAAAGGGAAGATGAAGAGAGAGGCTGTGTGTTTCGGGGATGATATTAGTAGGTACACGCCGATCCGATTTTTATTTGTTTTAATTTATTTAAGAGACTCTTTGATTTATTTTATTTAATTACTGGAAGTTTCTGGCTAAATTAATGTGAATGGATTTAACGGAGGGAGTCGAGAAGTCTCCGTCTAACTAAACGGACAGATAGTTTGAAAAAGAAAAAAGGTGTAATGGGCTTGTTCCACTTTAGTTACGGCCTGTACACATCGTGGCCCACGAAATAAATCTCATGTGAAGGGTATTATAGTCTTGTTTATAGTGTTTCATCATATGAGCAAGGCCTTGAGAATTTTTTTTTTCTTTAAGAACTTTCTTATGAGGATTAAAGGATGCTAGAAATCAGAGTTGTAAATATGATTTTACATCAATCCTAAGATCTTTAATGTCTATAGACTAATCATCTAGTAGAACTATTAAAAAGATTAGAAGAATAGCTCAATTCATCATTGTGGAAATCTTCTTAAACAATTTTGATTATATAAGATAACTTCTTGATCTGTAAGCTGGAGTTAACACTTCTCTGCTCTTGCTTACAAACTTCTTTTAGATTTTTTTTTATATGGAAAAAAATATAATTTCTTCATCAAGTTTTGATTACTTCTTCACCAAGTGTTTTTTTTTCTTTTTTGGTAAATTTTATCTTTTAAACTCAACTATTCATCAAAATTGAGGAAGTGACAAGTATTTAATTAAAATGTCTCATTTCATTATGAAAAACAAATATTAAGTATCCTAGAATATTGGATCATACGGTGAATTTGTTTTATTATGAAACTTCTATTAGATTTATCTTTCAAGTCACTCTGTCTTATAAAACATTAATTATTTATACTTTGATTAAAATATGAATTTTTTTTTTTAAATTACCATCTATACTATTATTTGCGAAGTGATTTTTCACAACGAAGCTCCCACGTTAAAAGTTGGAGTGATTAATATCGTTTATACCCTTAATGAAAATAATAAATATATTACATATAAAATAAAAACGAATTTAAATTATTTTAATCTAAAATTAATAATAATCATAAGAATTATCCAAAATCTAAATAATATCTTTTTAAATAAGATAATTCTGATATATATTGTGATGTTATCTGAAAATATATTTAATAAAAAAGTTAACAATTAAAACAATAGAAAATACATAACTAAATATTAATCAAGTCAACTTCTTAATTTTATATTACTGAAAAATATTATTTGAACTTAAAATTATTTTAATAGTGAACATAAATTACAAAGAAATATATGTAAGAATTTTTAAATGAAAGTATAAATATTATTGGTTTCAAAAAATTAAACACAATCAATCCTTAATATTATGTGATCTTAAAATTATTTTTAATAGTGAATATAAATTACAAAGAAATATATGTAAGAATTGTTAAATGAAAGTATAAATATTATTGGTTTCATAAAATTAAACACAATAAATACTTTATCACTATAATCTTTCAATTAGTAAAAGATGTATTAATAAAAACGGAATTAAATTATTTTGATTATTTAAATAATTAAAATTAATAATAATCATAAAAACTATCCAAAATCTAAATAATATGTATTTAAATAAGATAATTCCTATATATATTGTGTTGTTATCTGAAGATATATTTTCTGAAAAATAGATATACATAATTAAATATTAATCAAGTAAACATCTTAATTTTATATAATTGAAAAGAAAAAAGTTATTTTTATTTTAAGATGATTTATTTTTAGTAGGGAACATAATGTACAAAGAAATACATGTAAGAATGTTTAAATGAAAATATAAATATTATTGATTTCAAAAAAATAAAACATAAATAATACTTTATCATTATAATTTTTCGATTAGTAAAAAATGTAATAAATAATTATAAAATGTTTAGGCCCGCAAGTGCGGGCAAAACACCTAGTTTTTATTAGTTACCAAATGCCATTTAGACTTAACAAATCTCAATAGAAAATATATTTATCATTTTTATTGGTTACTAAATGCCATTTAAATTTAACAATCTCAATAGAAAATACGTTTACCATTAGACAACATAATGGTATAGAAATATTTCCGTAGTATTGAAAATATTTCTTACATGATTATGTTGCATTACTCCAAAATGATTATGCTTGTTTTGGAGTTTTTCTTTTGCTAATTCTGGAATTAAATATGTATAACACATCATGATCATATTAGATATTAAATATAGCTAATAAAAAAAGTCGTTAATAAATGAATTTTTTTTTTAAAATGTAAATATTAGTGATAACCATTCTCCAAAGTTTGGTGTTTTCATTTTCTATGGAATTTTTTATTAATATTTTATTTACTGTTATTTTCTTAATATTCTTGGGACTTTTTTTAAAAAAATGATTAAAACAAAAAGAATACTAAGATACTTTACAAAAATGTATCTAATATTTTCCAAAAACTATTTTTATTTTAGAGATTTATTCCAATGCGAATTATAAAGAAAAAAATATCAAACTCTGTAAAGAATAATAAGATAACTTCACAAAATTATATCCAGTATTTTTCCAAATAAACCTTTTGTAAAAAATTAAAACACACGAATCAGTTCTGAAAACCGGAAAGTAACACGAGGGAAAACCAGCCGCCGTTTTCCGCTGGTTTTTAGGTGATGTCTACATATACTCTCGTATGTATAAAAACAAAACGCTTTATTTCTGTCCCCTCTTTTCTCTCTCTTTTTCTTTACTTCGAATCGAAACCACTCTCTCAACAGAAACGCTTCAAACACACGTTGGCTTTCTTTACGTGACCAGAGACTTGAGCAAGAAAGGGAGATATGGATTCCAATGGCGTCGATGAGCAGATGAAGTTGGTGCAAGGAGCTGCTGGCTACGTACTCGAAGATGTTCCTCACTTGAGTGATTACATTCTCGATCTCCCCGTATTACTTCCTTCCTCTTCTCTTTACGCTTTATTTTCTTTTCTAGATCGGCGGTGCTTATTATACGATTTAAGCGTTTTATTACACCGCCTGACACGTGTGCGAATCTGATGCTTCCTTAAAGTTCAATACTTTGGAGAGTTACATTCTTATTATACTAGTGCATATGAATGTTATATCAATGCGATATAAGATTGGTGCGTATGTGCATACTCGTGGTGTAATGTTTGGTCAGATCTATTTGATACAGTTACTTAGATTTGTTATGTTAAAATGAATATCTCTCCGCAGGCTAAGGATGCAATGTAGAATAATGGAAGGCTTGGATTATAATCTGAGACTGTGATGTTTTTTGTGTGTTGAATTTGATTAAAAATGAGATTTTTTGGAACATATATGAATGCATACTCACTTTTACTGATTTCTTTGGTTTTTTTTTTTTTCAGACTTATCCAAACCCGTTGCAATCGAATCCTGCTTATTCAGTTGTTAGGTAAGTTGACAGACTAATATTACTTGTAAACTTCATTTTTTTTGACAGATGATGTGCTCAGTTAATTGTGCTCATGTTCTGTAACTTTCTGCAGGCAGTATTTTGTTGATGAGGACGACACAGTCCCACAAAAGGTGAATCTCTTTGCCGTGTCTTTGTCTCTTTGTTCTGTGTGTTATGTTATGACATTGCTAATTTTTATTCATTTTTAGATTGTTGTTCACAAGGATTCTCCTAGAGGGACACATTTTAGACGTGCTGGACCACGCCAAAAGGTATTTCTTTCATCTCTTTCATGATTTTTTCCCCATATGCTCTGCAGTTTCCTTATCTAAATGGTGTTAACACTGCTGATATTTAGGTGTATTTCAAGCCGGCTGATGTGCGGGCATGCATTGTCACATGTGGTGGTCTTTGTCCGGGTCTTAATACAGTAATCAGGGAGATCGTCTGTGGTCTTCACTACATGTACGGTGTCACAGAAGTACTTGGTGTGAATGTGAGTTGATTACAAACAGTTAATCTTTATTGTTGTGTAAATACTTTGTTATGTGATTGCTTGCTATTGCGGATGTAATATGTGTGAGAAATTTTAGATTCAAATAACTGGTGCTCGAGGAAATTTTGTTTAAGCTATTATTGATTGAAATAGGATTTTATGTGGCTCATATGGTTTTCTGATGCTGCAGTGTGGGTTCAGCGGATTCTATTCCAAAAACACTGTTACCCTAACACCCAAGGATGTTAGCGACATCCACAAGCGCGGGGGAACCATGTTAGGAACATCTCGAGGGGGGCATGATACATCAAAGATCGTCGACAACATACAGGATCGTGAAATCAATCAGGTTTTCCTAAGAACTTATATATTTGTTTCTTTAAGTTTGTTTCTGTTTAGTGGAGTATAGCTCTGCTAATACAAGTCATTTGTATTGTATGTATCTTGGAATAGGTTTACATCATTGGAGGTGATGGAACCCAAAAGGGAGCATCTGCAATATATAAGGTTAGTTAGTAAACATCGGATGCTTCTTTGGAGTTCAAATTATTGTTGGATGGTACCTACCTAGAACATTTTATGAAGAGAACAGTCTAATTAAAAGCCATGGAATAAACTCTGCTGTGAGTAAAATGAACGTCTATTTGCTAGTATATATATAATGGGCGTAGCTTCCTTATAATATTGCTGTACTGGTAGAGCAGTGATGTTCTTTTGACAATCGCTTAAAGTGGGTGAAACAAATGTTTTGACTGATGTTGCAGGAAATTAGACGTCGTGGACTTAAAGTTGCTGTGGCAGGAATACCAAAAACCATTGACAACGACATCCCAGTAAGTCTAAGATATAATATAACTGTACTCTCAGCCATTAACCTGATCTCCCATTCTGGTTAGTCAGTGTGTAGCTCTATCTGATAGTACCTCTAATTCAGGTGATTGACAAGTCGTTTGGATTTGATACTGCGGTTGAAGAGGCTCAACGTGCCATTAATGCAGCGCATGTTGAAGCGACCAGTGTGGAAAACGGGATTGGACTTGTCAAGCTAATGGGTCGCTACAGTGGTAAGTTCATTATCGAGAAAGAGACAAATTATGCATACAAAAGATGGTCTCAAAAGTATCTAATTTATTGTTTCCACACTGCAGGTTTCATTGCAATGTACGCGACTCTGGCCAGCCGGGACGTTGACTGCTGTCTGATTCCCGAGTCACCTTTTTACCTTGAAGGCAAAGGAGGGCTTTACGAGTTCATTGCAAAACGGCTCAGAGAAAATGGCCACATGGTTATAGTAGTTGCTGAAGGTGCAGGCCAAGATCTCGTTGCCGAGAGCATTGAACAACAAGATGCCTCAGGGAATAAGCTCCTTAAAGATGTTGGACTATGGATGAGTCTTAAAATCAAGGTAACTTATAGCAAATAAGAACTATATCGAACCTTCAGTTTCTTAACCTTGTTTCACTTCTGGCTTTTATAACAGGAACACTTTGCGAAGCAGAGAAAAATGGACATTACTCTGAAATACATTGGTACGTTTTTGTCCTCTCATACTTCAACTCAAGCTACTTATATTCATGAAATATGAATGCGATTGATAGATTCATGAAATATAAATGTGATTGATTCCATGTTTCAGATCCGACATACATGATCAGAGCTATTCCAGCTAATGCATCTGACAATGTCTACTCTACTCTCCTCGCTCAAAGTGCAGTCCATGGAGCAATGGCAGGCTATACTGGCTTTATCTCTGGTCTTGTTAATGGAAGGCACACCTACATTCCCTTCAACGTAAGTTTCTCTTTGCCTAGATATCTCTCTATCTATCCCATTGGATCATCAGCTCTCAAAGTCTAAACCTCTTTTTTTTATTCTTGCAGCGAATAACGGAAAAACAGAACAAAGTTGTGATTACAGACAGAATGTGGGCTCGGATGCTGTCATCCACGAACCAGCCCAGCTTCATGAACCCTCCTAATGGAATCACCGAGGCGACAAGCTAATGCCAAATAAAAACTGTTGGCAGAGTTTTATATCTTCATTTGTAATTTTGACCGCATCGAGATTGAATCATTAGGTCTGAGACAGTATCATTGTTCTCGTGAACTCTTTTCTTGAAGATAAAACAATTCTTGTGAAGTCATGTTTGGTCTCTTATTGATTGGAAAGAGAAGCCGAGAGAGTTATATGCTCATCTTTCTTCAACTTCCATTTTCATGAAACCAGACCAACCATGTGCTTTGTTTTTCCTTTGTTATATAGAAACATACATAAAACTGATGAAAAGGTTTGTTATGTTCTTGACTTCTCCATGAAATTGGGCGTTATTGTTATCAAGTGCAGTGCATACAAAAGTTGCCAAGTCAAAAATACTAATTTCAAAATAAAAGTTTGACAAATGGTTTATTAATATTGTGGATGCGTTATGAAGAATTTTTGTTTGTTCTACTTGTCTTACTTTTACAATGATCAGAATTAAAAATGAACAACAATTTGGCTCGAGACTGCCAAGAACTGAAGACAGATGCATAAAGCTGTTTCGTTTTCACCCTCTGTAGATTCCAGAAGGATCAGCGTTCTGCACAATCCATGGGTGCTCGAGAAGTTTGTGCAGTGGCAGACGTTGTGCAGAGTCCTTGACAAGCATCTATATGATATAGTCAAGAAACATGTAAAATATCAGATTCAGTTCTTCAATGACTACTACTCCCATCAAAATTGAAGGTATCAACAAACCTGGCTGATTAGATCCTTTGCAGATGGAGATACAATTGGCGTAGGAGGGAACTTGAGGTCCACCTGCACAATCCTGTTATAGAACATTTGTGTTAACAAAAGTCTTCAATAACAAGAAACAGACAGTAACTGGTAGAGATTAGGGAATGCAGATTCTTATGTTATACCTTCTGTATGTGTCTGAGTGCTCCACGGCTTCAAAAGGAGGGACGCCATAAAGAAACTCGTAACAGAGAATCCCTAGGCTCCAGATATCTACACTTGCATCATGTTCCACGCTTTCAACTGCAAGAAAAAAGTACAAAGGTCATGTTATAAAGAATGAATACATGTCTTAGTAGAATTAACTCTCAAGCGTAGTCTTTCAAGTTTACCCATCTCAGGAGGAAGGTAATCAAGCGTGCCACACATGGTCCTTCTCCGGTTAAATGTGTGCACTGACCAACCAAAGTCTGCAATCTTGAGCTCACCCTGATATTAAAAAGTCAATAAATATCATTATTAGCTTTTTAGATCAAATGGATATAAATGTAGTAAAAACTTATCTAACCTGAGCACCGATTAACAGATTTTCTGGTTTGATATCTCTGTGTATCACATGCTTGCCATGGCAATAGATGAGAGCCCTCGCCAATGAGGCAACATACTATAGTAAACATATAAAGATCTCAGCTTTTTCTGCACTGACAAAAGAATTCATTTAAGCATAACAGCAGAAGGAAAAGGACTAACAGTCGCAGCTCGTCTCTCGCTGAAGAATTTGCATTTCTGAAGCTCCTTGTAAAGCTCACCTCTAGCAGCATACTCAAGTATCAAATAAACTCTTTTCTGCAATCATACAAAAAAAGAAGACAATAAAACCCAAATTTTAGCAACAAAAAAAAAGACAATAAAGTGGAGTTATGCTCAAAAGGCTTGCCAACAAAATGAAGTAACATTTAGCTTTACCTGATCATAGAAATAACCATAGAGTCGGAGGATATTGGGATGTCTCAGATGAGACTGAATCTCAACTTCTCGTCGAAGCTGGTGCTCAACTTGAGATTCTTGAAGCTGTTTCTTGAAAAGAACCTTTAGAGCGACAATGTGATTGCTCTGTTTCATATTTGCATACAATGTGTTAAAAAGAAAAACAATGTAAGGAATCTAAACAGAAGGATGAGAATGAATCAAAAAGGCATATACTGACCCGCTTTTCTCGGGCGAGATAAACGTGACCAAATTTGCCTCTTCCAAGAGCCTTTCCAATGTCAAAATCACTCAGATTCCATCTCTTTTGTACAGCTGCAGAAGCATCTGAAGAAGCCTCCTGATGATGATTAAAAAAAGGTCCAGTTAACAGAATGAGATGTCTTCCTTTTATGATATGACACTTAAAAAAATGAAAAATCTACTTTTTCAAATTCACAAAATTTACAAAACCCTAATCTTGGTAATCTCGCTCAATTTCAATTCTAACCTAATAGGAAAAAAGGGTTTTCTTTTCACCCAAAAAGAGAATCAAGCAACGCAGATCTCATCCTAAATATTGACAAACCCAAATACCACAAAATCGAGAAGGGATAGAAAGCTAGGAACTTTGTCAATTATACGAATGAATCAAATGGTGAAAGAGTTGTGATTAGCCGAAAAAGGTTGTTCCTTTTTTACCTTCTCCTCCTGGTGTTGTGTCTCCGTAGCGATGGCCATGGAAGAGAGAGAGAGAGAGGACAAGATTTGAGGACGGAGAGGACAAGATTTGAGAAGATAGGAGCGGGGGTCGAAGGTTTTTAAATAAAAATAAAATACAAAGGTGAGACCGTTTTCAAATTATAATATGTTTTCGCTACAACGGTCGAACTTGCCACTTGCCAGGGTGTCTGTGAACCCGATTTCCACTTTTTTTATAAAGACAGTTTCCGGTTTTATCGGTTCATTTACTAACCACATTCACTTAAACCGGAAATGATCTAATTCAAACTTGTGTATAAAGATTTACATAACTAAGGTCTGTAATTTTTAATGCAAGAAAATATTTACATAACTAAGGTCTGTAATTTGTTTTTCTTCAAATTTATAATAATTATAAAATTAATATATTATGCGTTTGATTGTTGGGATTTTTTTTTCAACTGATAATCAAATAAAATATTTTAATAAAATAATATAGATAAAAGTTTAAACTTTTGAGATTTATATAGTAAGTTTACAAATCAAAAATATTCAAACTGAAAAATAGAGTTTTGTTGAATAATCCAGTTTTAATTCATACAACTAGATATTTACATAATGATGACATCATTCTTTAGATTGTAAGTTTAAGATAAATGTGAAAGTAGAGGGCTTAAAATCGTAATTTTAAAAAATATAAAGCATTATATAGTAAAACCGCGAAGTACAATACCTATTTGTGCAAATTTTCCATTAATTGGGACATATACATATATTACCAGAATTCACAGTGGAAGAACAGACTACGAAGAAACAAAACAAATCATCATCATATGACATGAAATTAAAAACCCTAATGGCCATTAATCTCAGAAGAACATAGAAGATTCCGCTCAGAGAACAACTCTGCTTGAAAACACGGAGTAACTGTCAAAACCCAAACCAGTGACCTTTGACTATCAAAGATGGTATGATTATTTCTGCCAAATTCTCAATTCGTTAATCTTTTTAAGCAATTAGGGTTTGGAATTTGATTTTGAATTTTGTTTCCTTTTCTTCAGTTTTCGATTGCAGCGATCAATGATACGGAGTCCAAAGAGAAGTGGGAGCCTTTAGCTCCTAGCAAAGAAGCTCAGGTTTTGTTTCGATTTAGGGTTGCTTTTGATTTGTTTCTCTCGAATTTAGGGCTAGAAAATAAAGTTGGACTCTTTTGTTATTTTTTCTTGTTTGTGTTATGATTGATCACATTGTAGCTGAACAAAAGATTAGCTCAAGTTTTTAGTTGGTATAGAGAAGAGAGGGATGCATTATCTTGTAGAAATAGATATTGAACTATTGTGTTTTTTTTTTTTTAAATTGTCCTCGTCAGGAGTTTCATCTGTCACAAACATATCACGATGGTCTTCTAAAGCTGCAAGCTAAAGACTACGAAAAGGCTCGGGAGCTGTTAGAGTCTATCCTTAAGGATCCTATTATAGCTAACTCCAAAGTACGGAAAGAACTCGTTTGATTACTCTCTTTGAATTGTGTGAACTGTTTGTTATGGTTAGTAACTCATTTCTTTGCAGGTAAAGACTATCACAAACGATAATCATCTCCATCATCTCAGGTCAAGCTCCGTTTTTAAAAATCATCTAGTTACATTTGGTTATGTTGTCTAGTAGTTGTAGTTTAGATGTTTTGTTTATTAGTATTCTGGTCTCCTATAAAATAATTTTCTGTATACCTCTTTTGCAGATTTTTGGCTCTGAAGAATCTAGCCACTGTATTTCTTGAGCTGGGTTCAAGTCATTACGAGGATGCTCTAAACTGTTATCTTCAAGCTATAGACATAGATGCAAAAGATTCTGTGCTGTGGAACCATCTTGGAACTCTATCATGCTCCATGGGATTGCTGAGTATTTCACGATGGGCATTTGAACAAGGACTTCTCTGCAGCCCAAATAATTGTACGCACTGTTCCTTCCTCTCTCAAACTTATACGGAAATTGGTCATCACGTAATTGAATCCTAGTTGGTCTTATACCTTTTGCAATAGATGTTGAATCTCTGATTGCTCTTTGTTCCTGGGTTTACGGACTATTGCATGTATGCCTCACCCACCCTTCCCTGAAAACTGAATGTGCTAATGTGCAGGGAACTGCATGGAGAAACTTCTAGAAGTTCTCATTGCCATAGGTGATGAAGTTTCCTGTCTTTCAGTTGCAAATCTGATTTTGAGGCATTGGCCATCACATTCTCGTGCTTTGCATGTTAAACATTCTATTGAAGACACAGATTCAGCACCTTTTGCGCCCAAGGGTATAGATAAGCTTGAACCTCGGCACGTTCGACTCAAATTTCTTGGTAAAAGAAAGGTGTCTGAAAAGAATCAGGACAAGAATGTTGCTTCCAAGAAGTTGAAAAAAATAGTGCAAGTTAAACTTCCTGAAGCGTCATGGGTGGCACTATTAGATACTCTACTTGGGATAGTGCTTCCTCCGTGTGAAACTGTGGGCATATCAGCTGACATACCAATCACCATTGAATTAGATCTTAGTACAGAAGCTGTAATGCAGGGTCCGGAAAAGAATAATCATTGTGTGGAACCTGATTTAAGTAATGTGTCTGTTAAGGATTGCAACATCGAAAGAGAAAGTGTTGGTCAGGTTAAAGAAAAAGGGCCTGCGTTTTCTGAAGAACACCCTCAAGAGAGGCGGAGTACTCGGCTTGAACGTCTTCGGAACCAGAAACCTGAAAAAGAAGAGCTAGAGTGTGATAATATCAAGGATCCTAGCAGTGACATCCTTCGGTATCTTGAGACGTTTCTCGTTGAAAGTGGATTCAGCAGAGTGTCTGTCGGTTCTCACTGCCTTAACAAACCTGATCCGATTTCTGAGCACACTGTTGTTTCTAATTTTCTGAAGGAAACTTCAGAAAATTATGGTGCTTATCATATGGGTCACTTGCTTTTAGAGTATATTGCAAGTAAATGTGAACATCTGTTGAGTCGTGATGCAGCCTTAAAAATTTTGGAGTTAGAAAAGCTCACTAGACACTGGGGCCTAGATCGGAAACCTGAATGTAGTCTTTTTCTGGCCGAGCTGTATTATGACCTCGAATCTAAAGGATCAGATATTTCTGAATCCCCATCGTGTATGGTAGAAGTGACATACCATCTCTCTAAGATAATTGAATCTGTTTCCCTTGATCATGCCATCGAATCTACCCCTAGTTCCTGGGAGAGAAGTTTTCCTGACTCCTCATCTAAGAGTTGTCAAGGTGATCAGACTGCTAAGGAGGTGTTAGATTATAACAAAAGATCCTTCTGGGCTCGATATTTCTGCCTGAGTGCACGGTTATCAATATTGGAGGGTAAAAAAACTAGAGCTCTTGAAGAATTTTTCAGGTGTTTGGCATTGTTGGACAAGGAAGGTATTGGAGAATCTCCTGTCTTGATTCAGCTGCCCCATTGCAGAATAATTCGAGAGCTGAACATCGATAGAATCATGCATGAAATAAATTTGCTTAAGATTGATGTCTTGCTGGAAAAGACCGTACCTGAGATGATGGAGAAAGAATTATATTCGGAGTGTGTAAATTTACTTGCATCACTTTTGTTTCCAGATAAAGACATGTGGACTGCATCCTCTTTGAAAATGGAAGAAGGGATCTCCTCTACTGAGTTATCAGCACTGGAAGTTTTAATAAAAGCATGCCAGAAGAGTAAGTCAATAGATGTAGAGGTTTATATGAACTGTCATAGAAGAAAGTTGCAAGTACTCTTGGAATCAACTAGTACGGGGGAACCTGTTTTGACCTCATATACAAATTTGAGTGAGAATTGGAATCACTTGGTGGCAGAGGAAATCAAGGCAATTCTTCTTTGCATCTCTCAAGTGAAGAACTTCCTTGACCAGTTAGATAACTCTGTAAGTCTGACATTTGTTTTGGCATACATGGTTTCGTTCTCAGAAGGTATTTGAAATGCTTATTATCTTTGTTTGCTTTGGATATCTGAGACTGATCATGCTAGCACAAGGGTATGCGAGAAATTATACACATGGTCACTAGCTTTGTCTGAATCATGAACTTCATTATCTGCTTGTTCTTGCTTGATCTGCTAATTAAAACTTGACAATCTTGAGGCTCTTGTACCGGGGACTATTTAAAGAGTATAATGTTTTAAATAAAATTTGCATGTCTAACTATTAGGCACTAAAATGTACAAGAGATTAATATCAGTAAAGCTTTGTAGCTGTCCTAACATATGAACTTTGTCACCGTTATTGATGCGTATGTCTGATGTGCAGAATGACAAGGTTGCCCCAAGAGATTGTATAGCCGGTATACAATCGTTGCTTTTTACAGTCATGTCAAATATCGTGAGGCATTATCTTTCTAAGAAAGACTCAGATTCTCAAATTGCTGACGAGATTGAAGAAGAGCTGAAATCTTGCTTTCTAGATGCAGCTATTGGATTTTGTAAACTTCAACACCTTGATTCTACCATATCTACTAAATACCAAGTAAGCCATGGTTTTTTAGGGCTCCCAGGTTGTCATAGCTAGGCGTGTCCTTACTATCAGTCATGACACTAAAAGCTATTTTGGTCGGCTTCTTTGTGATATTGACTTTCTAAAATTTGTTTCTTTCAGGTTGAGTTGATCATATGTCTCCATGATTTGCTTGCTGAATATGGGCTCTGCTGCGCTGGTAAAAATTGTGCGGGGGAGGAAGGATCTTTTCTCAGATTTGCAATCAAGCATTTATTGGCTGTGGACATGAAAGTCAAATCCAGTATTAACTCCCCTGATGGCCTTGGACATGATATGGGGAAACTATGCAGAAATGAAATGAAATCATTTGTCGCAGATGTGCATGTTGAGAGAAAGGAAAACACAAAAACCGATTCGAAGAAGCATGATTCTGAAGGAAAGGTTAGTGATAAGGAGCAAGAAGAGTTAGAACAAGGAAACAAAAAGATTCCTGAAAACACAGAAGAAGTTGCTGAAGAAGAAAAAGATGAACTTGAGTTGCTAATCAATAACGCTTTAGATCAGTGCTTTTTCTGTCTGTATGGTCTAAATCTTAGAGTCGATGGTTCATACCAAGATGAGCTTGCT